GAAAGAAAGAAAGAAAGAAAGAAAGAAAGAAAGAAAGAAAGAAAGAAGAAGAAAAGACGGGAGAGAAAGAAAGAGAGAGAGAAAGAAACAGCAAGAAAGAAAGAGGAAGGGAGAGAGAAAGAAGGAGGGAAAGAAAGAAAGAAAGAAAGAGAGAGAGAGAGAGAGAGAGAAAGAGCAAGAAAGAAAAAGGAAGGGAGAGAAAGAAAGAGAAAGAAAGAGAAAGAAAGAAAGGAAGGAAGGAAGAAAAGGACAAAAAGAAAGAGAAAGAAAGAAAGAGGAAGAGAGAGAGAAAGAGCAAGCAAGGCAGAGAAAGAAAGAACAAGAAAGAGAAAGAAAGAAAGGGAGTGAGAGAAAGAATGAATAAAATAGGAAAGAAAGAAAAGAAGAAGGAAGGTGGGGGAGAGAAACCTTAGTGCTATTATTTTTAATTGTTCCCATTATTTGTCATATATTAATATTTTATACTGTCCCTAAACCTAGAGTAATTTTACTGCCTTTTGCCCAGGTATTTTTCAGGATTTACAATATATGCATTCAATGTCTATAGTCCAGAGCATAAATACAGGTGTGTTTAACAGAGTTGAAAGTGATTTTGGAAGTCTTCCAGTCCAACCCCCTTCTCAGGCAGGAAAACTGAGGATGCCAGACTCTGAGTAGAGGTCCTGGAAAAGGTGTCAGAATAACAGAATAATACTTACTATTTCAGAGAAATGGCTGTCCAGTCTTTTCTTGAAAACCTACAGTGTTAGAGCACCCAGAACTTCTGGTGGCAGGCAGTTCCATTGGCTAATTGTTCTCACTGTCAGGAAGTTTCTCCTTAGTCTTAGTTTGCTTCTCTCTTTGTTTAATTTCCATCCATTGCTTCTTGTTTGCCTTTTGGTGCTTTGGAAAATACATTGCCCTCCCTCTTTCTGGCAGCCCCTTAAAAGCCTGTTGCCTATCATACTTTTGAGCAAAGCATGTGAGCCATTTCCCTGTTTCAGTAGTCCATGAAAGTACCTCTATACAGGGGTGGAATTCAATTTTTTTAACAACCAGTTCTGTGGGTGTGGCTTAGGTGGTGGGTGTGGCTTGATGGTCATGTGACTGGCTGGGTGTGGCCAACTCAATATCACTAATATCGAGGCACGCATGTCCTCGCCTGGCCTCTCATGACTGTGGGGATGCTGCAACAGTCTTAAGTGTGAAAAATGGTCATGTCACTTTTTTCAGTGCCATTGAACTCTGAACGATCACTCCACACAAGCAAAGTACTAGCAAAGGAGGGGGAAAAATACTCCAGAGAAGTTCCTGAGACAGGAAGTCTAGTCCTGCTAAGAATGTAATAAGGGTTAACAGAGAGGCAGTTTCTGTAAACAACATCAGAATGTTTCCTTTCTTCCTTACAGGATTAGGCCAGTAATTTCTTCTAACAACCAGTTCTCCAAACTGCTTAGAATGTTAACAACCTGTTCTAGAGAATAGGTGCGAACTGGTAGAATCTCACCCCTTCCTCTATAGTACGTAGATAATAAAGTCAAAAAAGGGTGAACAACATTTTTAAAGAACTATAGATAAGTTGAGGCTGGATGTGACAAGGAATGGCTGGGAGGGAAGGGGCCAGGCAAGGCACCCCTTGACATGAGTGACATTGAGTTGGTCACGCCCACAGTCACATGACCACCAAGCCACACCCAGCCAGTCATGTGATCAAGCCACGCCCAGCCAGGAAGCCACACCTAGCCAGTCACATGACCACCAAGCCACCCCCACAAATTAAGCCATACCCACAGAACCGGTTGTTAAGAAATTTGAATCCCACCCTATATTTACTAACTTAAATGCTTTGATGAATATCTGGGTACTTTGCAGAACTTTATATACTGTGTTTAACAATATAAGTTGCAAACGATAACTGTCTCCCTCCCATTGTTTTTCTTTCATTTAGAACGATCAGGAATAGAGAATGTCAATTCTGTGGAAGCACTGCAAGAAACATTGATCCGTGCACTCAGGACTTTGATCACAAAAAATCATCGAAATGAAGCCTCTAAATTTACAAAACTACTTTTGAAACTGCCTGACCTGCGTTCCTTAAATAACATGCACTCTGAAGAACTTCTAGCCTTTAAAGTTCATCCATAGGCTTTTATCTCCTGCTTATATACTTGATCTATCTAAAATTAATTGTTTTTATTTTGTGCTAAAAATTTTTTGTTTATATTTGTACATGCTTCTGTGAAGGATTTGTATAATAGTGAAATGATGCAGTAAATGCATCAGGTTGACCCTTATTTCACCATTCACAAAATGGCTGCAGATTTCTTTTTGATTTTCCAAAACAGTCCCACTTGCACAAAAGCTGAAGAAATTACACTAAATATTATAGGTGCTGACTTCTTTGTCTTTACAGAAAAGATCATTTAATTATCCTAAAGAAGAATACCCAGTAGCTACAAATGGAAAGCTGTACTTCGAATAAATGAAAAAAGACTATTGGTCCATCTCATGCTTAAGTAGATACCTTGCTATATAAAGAATTTTTTCAAATTTTTTTGTTTCTGATTACACTATGAATGAAGTTTATGAAAGAATCAGTTTATATTAATTTGTTCACTTTAATATAAAATTGCATATTCATCTCTGTACATGTTTATGTGTGCAAATGCACATACATACACACATATAATGTGAACAGAGATGGGTGTATTATTACTTTATAAACTTCATGTATGTACATAATTATATAAGTATATAAATATAAATAAACTTCACAATATTTTCAGCTGTGAACAAGTTAAAGGAGGATTATCCATATGAATGCATTTGGTTCAGTACAGTTGGAAGTAAAAAGTTTAGAGACTCCCAAATTAGTATGTTGATATGTTGAATTTGTTAATTTTGGTCACTTAAAACAATATAAGTGAAGAGATAAATAGGTCAAATTTAAACATTATTGAGAATGTGGGGCTTTTTCCTAAAAAAAATGTCTTTAATATTATATGTACCTAAAGTAGTAGGCATTTAAAATTAGTGCTCAGCCTTGCGAGTTTTCCTGTAAAGTTTCCATGGAGAATCATGGAAGAAAACCATGTTACGCCTTTGTTCCATATTGGGTGTTCTGTGAATCATTTATGCTACATACATATGCAAATTGAATGCTACATAAATCAGTCTTGTAACATGAGTGGGACTTTTAAAATCAGTTTTGTTATATCTCCAAAGGTTTTTCAAAACTGATCTAGGTTGTCCGATACCTGTGAAGTTCTGTTAATTTCATGACTTTTTAAATGCCAGTGACAAATTCCTAAGCAAGGATTTGCTGTATTTTCTGTTGCATTTTTCAAATTAATGTATTAATTGTTTCATGCTGTTCTTAGTGTGAAAATATTTTAGTTGGATCAAAGTACGACTATGTCAGTATCAAACCTTTGAGATTTTCCAAAATATGACTTTTGAAAATACATTGATATTTCATGTAGTTATTTAGTACTTAACTCCTCTCAAACTTTCCATAACTTTATGTGAAAAATTACAATATCATAGTTGATACATAATTTTTAGGCCAATGCATCACTACATGTAAAAATATTTGTTTTCAATCTTATTATATAGCATTATTATTTGATTTAAATTAATTTCTGTGATCTTTCTAGACATCAAACCCCTATTTTGTTTATTTCAAGCAACTATTGGGATGTGTTTTTACCATAATTTGTTCACATTAAAAAAATGCTCAACTGCAAGTTACAGTTTTTTTGGGGGGGGATAATTATTTTTAAAAATAGTTACCAAATATCAAAAATCCAAAGATAAGTTAGTCATTTCCCATCAATTTTTTTTAAAAATTGGAGGCAATTACTTGATTCTAGATTTCTCACATGTTTTTGTCTGGAAGGAAAATGTTGCTTGAACTTTATGAACAATTGCTTATGTTTCAAAGAATCAATACACCAAATACATACACTGAATGTAGGTTAGAAAAATACCCTATAAAATAAACTTGCATAATTTCAACTTAAGCTTGAGTTTATTCACTGAAGGAAAAAAAATATTCAGTTTCTTTAGAAACAAGATGTAGATTTGAATTCACCTTCTGTCTGAAATCTGGAACCTTGAGCACATACTTACATTATGCCCTCACTCTTTCTTTGTCTTAACAGAATAATGGAAACAAGCGTCTGGAGGTTCTCAATCATCCAGGTCATGTCCCAAAGATGTTTTGCCAAAAGGCAACTGGACTTTCTTGCTTCCCCCCCAACTCCCCGAAAACATTTCATTTCTCATCCAAGAAGCTAAAGAATTGAAGAAGCTTCTTGGATGAGAAGTGAATCATTTTCAAGGAAATAACAAAAAGGTCACTGCATAGCTGTTCCCACAAAAGCCACTGTATAGCTGTTCCCATTGTCCCAAAGGTGGCAACTGGCCTTTTGGAAAAGCACCTTTGGGACAATGGGAACAGCTATGCAGTGGCTTTTACCAATAGTCATACAATAATGAAAACGAATATGGTGATAATAAACCATTGCATAATTACCCCTGACTTTTGCCAAATACTATGTGCAGGTGGAGGAACAGTCCTTATGTCACAGTCAAATGTGACCTAAGATTTAAGTTTCTGAATTTTAACTAAAGAAGCTGTGTGATGTGAACTCTGCTTTACTGTGGTCATAGGTTATGTGCTATTTAAAATACTGAGAAATATGTCAAAATCTTTGAATACTGTTGATGGACATTGCAGAGGGAATATAAAAATGTACTGTATGAAATGATTTTTTAATGGCTTTACTTGTTCAAAAAAATTAAATATGGGCATTATGATGGCAAAGCAGTTTTCTTATGATTGTGTGTCCTCATTTTCAAAATTAAAACTGAAACCTGAAGAAGGGAGATCCCATCTCTTGTGAGTTTTTTTTAGAATATTTATTTATTTAATATACATCTATAACATAGTGTTTCCCATACAGTTCCTTCCTAAAGCATTTTACCTTAAAGCAATATTAATATTAATTAAAGGAGAGACAATAAAAACATAACACTCAAATAGGAAAGGCCTGAGCCAACAGTACTTCAACAGGTTTCATTCTCTATTGTTAATATCCCATCTCAAATCTGACTGAATCTGGGCAGACAGATAAAAAAAATTAAATGTAAAAAAGGAAGCATGCAGTAAAAGCACACAAATGAGGCATTTAAGAACAACTAAGTGCTAGCATGTCCAAACAGAAACAGTTTTTAATTACTTTGGCAATTTATAAACAGTTTGGGCTATTTGTACTGCAGGGGGGAAAGTGTTCTGAAAAGTGGAAGCACAACTCAGGTTTAATATTTAAATACATGACAGATTGCTAGAAAAAGCATTCTAAAGTACAGTATAGAAATCACTAGAATAAAGGTTCATCAAGTACATGAAAGTTAGTTGCTGTGTGTGCAGATTTCCAAAGCATAGTGGAGCATCTTGTGGGGGAGAGGGGAGAATGCTGGCATGTTCCATACCCAATGCTTCCAGTTAAATATTTGAGTCAAGCATAATGCCCCAAGTACTTCATTGCAGGTTTTGCAGGTTTATACCATTGGTTTGTGGTGGCTTCTACTGTAATGCAGCCTGTGCTGGTGTGATTTTCTGAAATTCCTGATAATAAGAGGTTTTGCAAACGCTTATGCAGAACTGTCTACTCCAGTGGTGCCTAACCTTTTTGGCATTGAATGCCGAAATGGGAGCATGTGCGTGCGTGCCAGACCAGCTGGCTGGCGCATGCATACGCTCTGGGGAGCTGCTTTTCCAGTTTCCAGCGCTCTTGCATGCCAAAGACCAGCTGGCTGGTGTGCATGCATGCACTAGAATCCAGAAGAGCAACGGGAGACGGCTGGCACCAGAGGGATGGCTCTGCATGCCACTTCTGGCACACGTGGCATAGGTTCGCTATCACGTGTCTACTCATTCTTATTGAATAAGGAAAATTGGGGTTACTGCCTAGCATGCCCTGGAGGCCTTATTATTATTAGAAATAATTGATTTAAAACTTCTCAGACAATGCTTCGAGTCAGTCAGATTTCTTGGCAAGTTTTTTCAGAAATGGTTTATCATTGCCAAATTCCTAGGACTGAGAAAACAACTGACCCAAGATCACCAGCTAGTTTTGTGAACAAGGTGAGATTAGAACTCTTGGTTTCTAGCTGATGCCTTAACCACTGCACCAAATTAGCTCTTTAAAACATTTAGTTCCATTCAATAATACATTGTAACTAAAACTAAAAAACTTGAGTCTAAAGTGGCAATAATATATAATAATATATAATCGGTTACAGTATACATTCATGTTTTTTAAAGACATGATTTTATTAAAGATTACAATATAACAGTAAAAACTAATGCAAACAACAGGAAAAAAGAAATATACATGCAGAAAAAAAATAGAAATAGGAAAAATATTGTTAAAGAAAAATATATAAAAGAATGACTTATGTCTTCATCACAACAGTATTAACAATTTTAGCAACATCAACTTTCCTTAAAGTACTCAAAACTTCAAAACTTCAACAAGCCTCTTTTGTAAATCCAACATGGGAAAATTATCCAGATGTCTTGGTTTGCTATTTGTATTTGTATATCCATTTTAATAATTAAGACATCATCCAGTTTCTTTTACATGTCCAGTGTAATATTTTTCTCTATATCATTCTTATCAACTGTCATTTTTAAATCCAACTTCAAATCTTTGTTGATCTTGTCAGGAAAAATTTGTTCCTCTTGCATAAATATATTTTAAGCACAGTCTATCTATAGAGACAAACACTCTTAAAATTAACTTTTTGGTGCACTATTGAAAAAATATCCAGTATATACAATATTATAATATTTCACTTTATTAATAAGTAAATTTAAGTGTTTTTCTCTTTTAACTATAACTTTGTTCCTTTTAGTTCCCTCTAGAGTACAATCTTCAAAGTCCCATTTTATCTTTTTTTTAAAAAAAAAGAATTTAAAACAAAAGCATTTTCCCATTTTATGATTAATTCAAAAATCTTATTTCAAATTTATGCAAATCCTTAGTTCTTTTGTAACTTTCTAAATTTTAATCAGCTTTTTTTATTCCAAACCCTCACCCCCAGCCATTTACCTTACATTTAAAAATTATTTCACTGACTGAAAAACACCCAGTGTTGTAAAACCTGTTGATCCAAAGTTTTCTAAGAACTAAAAGTAATTAACAAGCAATTTCTGAAAGTTATTAGTAAGGGAAATAGTGTTGTTTCCAAGATGCTGACAACAGTTGTTACTATTTCCTTGTCTTCAAGAGGTTCAAAGCTGCTGGAGACCACTTTCTTGAAATCTTATACAAAACAGCTCTCTGGAGTATTTTGGAATAATCCCAAGTTCTTTCCTTATCCAGAGAGGAATTACTAAGAGCTGATCTATTTGGCGACTTTTTATTCTGCTTTGGTCATCAGCACCATAAACCCCTGGAAGTCATAAACATATAACTTTTGAATGGAAAATTTAATTACCGGTATAAATTTATAATATATAATTTATAAATTGGACTTCTTGCTATCTAGTTATTTCAAGTTTAGCCACCATTTTCAAAGGTATGCGATTCCCTTTCTTCATTGGTGTCCTGCTGAGATATGAAAGTCTTGAATGAAAAAGGTCTGATTTCCAACCTATTATTAGATATACATACTCTTTAATTGGATATTCTTGCGTTTGTGTCTGAGTTTTTTTTTCTATGTGTCTATTTTACTTCTCTCATTTTGAGTGCCTAGTCTAGTGTATAAATGCAAGAAGAAGAAAAAGGAAGAAGAACAGGAGGAGGAGGAGGAGGAAGGGAATGAGAAGAGGAAGGAGGAAGAGGAGGAGAAAGGTTAAGGTAGGGAAGGAGGGAGAGGGAAAGAAGGAAGGAGGAAGAAAGAAGAAAGAAAGAGAAAGAAAAAGAAAGGAAAGAAAAAGGAAAAAGAAAATAAAAGGAAGGAAGGATAAATTTGTATGCCACCTAAGAATTATATTAACCTTAAGATACACTCTAGGATTGTATCACATCAGGCTGTGGGAGGGAGTAGGCCTCAGAAAAGGTAAGATGGTAGTCATAGCAGGATGGCTGAAATCCCTACTCCTTTTGTACATACATTGATGCCATAGGCATATACTATAATAAACTATATGATGCCCATATCATATATATATCTCTTGAATGGATAGCAATAAAGCAGAATAAAAATACAACCAAAATTATATAAATAACATAACAGTTGATATAACCAAGAAATGGAGTCACCCACATATCAGGCCTCTAATCTTGCTAACAAAACCAAGTTTCACTACCTTTAGAAAAGAATGCACTGGTAAGATGCTGGTTAAAAGTTAAAGGATTGTTGTCTCAGATAATTTTCTCCTGTATGTTGTTAAATTATTCTGTGTCAATTTAGGTGGTAAAAAGGCACCACCCAACACATTTTTACTTTTTCCAGATTCTATGAACTAAGTGAACTTATCTGGAGGCATAGTGGTATGGCTAGATTCTAACAAATTGAGCCAGATATGAAAAAGGTGTTTTATAACAGCTGGAAAGCCAAACAAGAAATTCAATCCATAGTTTAAAAAATTTCCATAGCCATCTAATACACTTTTAATATTATTTAAAATTACTAATGAATTCCTATTCCATTGCCAGGCACATCACTTCTAATAATTCAATAATTACTAATTTAATAGTTAGCAATTTTACATTTTGGTAACTAGTCACAAAGGAAAATGCATTTTGCATAGTTGTTCTTTATTTTATTTCTATCAAGATTATTAAAAATCATGTGCTGAATGTGGTGTCATCTTTTTCGCTTTTTAAAAAATGATCAGTCTAGTTGCAATCATAAGTAGGCTTTTTAAATTTAATGACAATGTCAATGCACTCATATGCAGACATATCTTTTGATTCAGTCCTTATTACTTTTATTAAAAATGGATACTAAAAAGATGAACCATAAGCACACACCAATGCTTCTATGGTTGTCCAAATAAGCTATGAATCATTCAGAAGCGATTCTATTAATCGCTTTCTGCTCTCACAGCTCTTGGGAACAATCTGTGTTAATGGAAGACACAGGAATCAGCAGGAGGCCATTGAAATATAAATTCTCCATATACCACATTATCAGTGGCACAGTTGGTGAAGGTTTAAAAGACCATGGCAGTTGTTGCTTATGTCTGTTCTGGGCTTGAAATTGCAGAGAAGATAGAAATAGCAATAGCACTTAAACTTAAATACATCTTTGTAATGCTTTACAGCACTTTCTAAGTGGTTTACACAGTCAGCATATTACCCCCAACAATCTGGGTCCTCATTTTACTGACCTTGGAAGGATGGAAGGCTGAGTCAAACTCAAGTCCATCAGGATTGAACTCCTGCTGTGGGCAGAGTTAGCCTGCAATGACTGCATTCTAACCACTGCACCACCATGGATCTATTCTGTAAATCAAGTATATATCCTATTACAGTCCAATTCCTTCTGTTATGATTACATGAATAGAAGATGTGAAGAAGAACTGGCCACAACTTCCAACCTGTTTTAGGTGAAACAAGTGCAGTCATTTCTTTTGAACCTTATGAAAATTTTCTATCAAGGATATTAACAATAAAAGCAATTTATATAAACCTCATTAAAAAAACCCAGAAGAACCTTTTCCTTGGTAATGTGTTGCCATTGTTGTTTCTATTCTCATCAGCCGAAATCTATAAATCG